GTTGTCTATCTAAGAGGGTGTTGAACTATCTAGCTAAAGACCACAGGGACAAAAGAAAAAAAAAAGAGACTCGATAGAGAATCGCCGCTCTATGCCTACGTACTCCCTCGTGCAATGGGAAAGTCAGAGTCAACGTAGTTCGGAAAACTAAGGGTGAAGGTGGGGAAGGTTGCTCGCCAAGACATCGTCGTCTTGTGCCTACGTATTCTCGTCTGGCACGAGAAATCAGGGCAAACATAGTTCGGGCTAACAAGAACACCGGTTGGTTCAAATGTTTTAGACCCGAGTAGGGTTAAAACTTAGTTCTAGCAGTTAGGTGTATGCAGCTCGACCATTGGAGACTTAGGCATTACCTGTTTGCGGTAGAACCAAGAGTTAACAAAACTCTCCTTATGAAAAAGGTTTCCAAATTAATCCCGAAGGATAAAAAGGTTTGAAGTTTTTTTTGTGTTTTTTAGACAAAGAAGTGAATTGAGTTATGGTTTGAAACTCATGTTGCACTAAAGACTATGACCTAGGAGCGAATGCGTCGCATATCGTCCAAAGGACATACGCTAAACACTCTAGACAATTGAGAGGATGCCTCCCAATCATCATTCTCCAAGTACTTAAGGCTCGTAGCGTACAACACAAATTATCCTTTATTAAGTGTTTTGAAGATGTTTGAAGATGATAAAAGAGAGACAAACTCTAAAGGGAGACTAAGACTCAACCTAATGTTCTCATACAAAATGCACCTATGATTGGGATGAAAGGGAATGTTACCTAATGTTATCATGCATGGGTTCAAGCCTAAGGTCTATCATAATCAATCTTGAACAAGAGAGATTAGAAGTCCTAAGGGAACATGGCAAAGAAGAAAGAAGAAGGAAGCAAAAGATAAAGAAAGTATGCAAACATGTAATGCACAATTAGAATGAAAGTGAGGGAGGAACAAAGTGTGGGGCAGCATCCTCCACAAGCAAATCTCAACCTCAAGCATGCAAATGAGAATGCAAAACAAAAAGAAGAATGCAAAAATGCAAACAAGCATGACAATGCCAACACAAAATATGCAAGGATGAGATGAAATGGGAGAAGCGAGCTCCTACGACCATCGACCATCGATCATCGAAGAAAAGTGGGAGGAAAAGAAGTGTGGGGCAGCAGCCACCACAAGCACGTCTCAACCATAATTCTTCACTCAAGCAAAGAAAAAGAAAGAACATCATCACTTTGAACAACATATACGAGAGTATGCATTCAAGTGGAAATTGAACACGCGTGTCGGCGAAATCATGATTAAACAATCAAGAACAGCGACATATATCCACAACATCTCACTCCTAATGTATCACACTGATCCGTGAAGATTCGAAGTGAAACTATACCAAACAAAGCATGAAAAACAACAAAACAGGCCTGCTGGCACAATGTTAATCGATTAACACCAGGGGTTAATCGATTAACCACTTAAAAATGTTGAAAAATTTGAATATTTGCATTGGTTAATCAATTAACCAATTGGTTAACCGATTAACACTGTGTCAACAACAGAAAGTAGCAGTTTAGAAGCACTTTTCAGCAACTTATCCAATGTGCAATCATTCTAATGATCATACAATCAATTAAGCACGAAATTAAACTAGAAATCAGTGATCTAATCAATATGTAAACACATCTAAACAACAAGATCACAAATCACATGGATCGAATCAACCAAAAGTCAATAAAAAATGAAGATCCACATCGAATATGCAAAATAAGCTTGAAATAGCAACAGATCTAGAATTCCAACCTACGAAGCGGAGAATTGCTTCGGTAATTGTTGATTCAACTTCAATTGATTAGATCCAAGCAAGAAATCCGAAATTCCTTCAAGATCCACTTGAATTCTTGTAGTAGAAATGAAGATCCACCAAAATTAAGCAAGAATCATCCAAATAAGCTTCTTTAAATCAACTTCAAAATTCAGATTCAAACTTGCACGAAAATTGAATGGAAAAATGGAGATGATGATGATGAAGGATGAAGGTTTAGCTCTTAGAAATCAATGGTTCTAATGGAGAATCAAATAATTCAAGGTGTGAAGAGCTTTGGTAGAGGTTTTGGGAGTGAAAAGTTGAGAGAAACTAGAGAGAATGAGAGTGAATTCTGAAAATGAAATGAAATTATGAGGATTGTGTTAGTGAGGTTTGGAGTAAATCAATTAAATACCCCTTAGGTTTGGATCCAAACGAGGTTTGGAATGTGTTTTGTGAAAACATGGAATGGGATTAGGAATGAGAATTTGGAGGAAAAATGAAATTAACCAAAACTTGAAATGATTCTAGATCCTTCCTTTGGTGTAAAATCAACTTCTCATGTGATCAAATTTGGACTCCAAAATGACTTCTCTTGAAAATACACGTGCAGAGCTGAAATTTGCACTGGTTAATCGATTAACCATTTGGTTAATCAATTAACACCTTCAAAAATTCAAATTTGGCCTGATTTTGCTTTGGTTAATCGGTTAACCAATAAGGTTAATCAATTAACACCTTCAAAAATTTGAATTTGGCGCCTTTTGGAGGGAACTCTGCACACTTGCCCGTTTTCATTTTGAGCCCCATGAAACATCTGATGCTTGCTCTTGAATATTGTGACTGTGAGAATGCTTGAGGTAGCCTGAATGCTGCCTTTTGATATGAAAATATCCTGCAAAATACAATAAAATCGATCGCTCGATCACCGGGCAAAATAAATACTGGAGCCTCTGATTCTCGTTGTTCAGTCTCTTGCGCTAAAAGAACTCTGAGCCACAGGAAAACCTTGATCCCCTGCCTCAAGAACAAATGCTATGCAATGCAAAAATGCGAAAAATGCAAAGAAACATAAGCCAAATACGAGAACCGATTAGTCAAATTTTAGGGTGTAACACATACAGTGTAGGTATGGTGAGTAGATTTATGCAGAAGTTAAAGGTATCACACCTAGCAGTGACGAAGAGCATACTAAGGTATCCGAAAGGAACTCTCGACTACGACATTTTATTTCCTGCAGTTGTTGAAAGAATAATGTAAGTTAGTGAGATACACCGATTCAAGTTGGTGTAGTGATGCTGAGGATAGAAAATCCACAGCTGGCCATGTGTTTATGCTAGGTGGTGCACCAGTTGTCTGGAGTTCAAGAAAAGAGACAGTAGTGGCATTGTCATCGTGCAAAGCATAATACATAGCTGATTCTGTCTGTGCATGTCAAGTAACGTAGATGGTGAACCTGATCGAAGAGATTACAACGAAGAGTCGTGGAACAATTATCATGAAGATTGACAGCATATCAACTATCAACCTGGCGAAAAATCTGATAACACATGGACCCGAATCAAACACATCGAAATGAGATTCCACTATCTTCAAGAGCAGGTAGCAGAAGAGAAGATGAACGTAAAACATTGCAGAACTAAGAATCAGAATGCATATATAATGATGAAAGGAGTGCAAGTCGAAGTGTTCAAATGATGAATATAGATAGCTTATACACAATGAATTAGGTTGTGTGTTGAAAATGTAATTCCTTGTGTCGAAGCAGGTGTAGCTCGACAGAAACAAGAATGTGTTAAAATTAACCTAGTGTAATGTGTGTCAAGTTGTGTTAGATGTCGAAGTGTCGAATCAGATTTCTTGACACATAATTTCGACTTAGACCAAAACATAAATTTTGAGTTTTTGTAATTTTAGACTTTACCTTAGGGAGCAAGCTAGCTCAATTATAAATAAGGAGTAACCCTATTATGAATTGTAAGAAACACCCAACTTAAAGTACAGTTGCACAGTTGAATAATATTTTTTCAGTTTGAGAGCAGAGAGTTACTCTGCAGAAATCATCTTCTTCTTACCCAATTTTGTTAAACCCTAATCATCTTTCTTATTCAATTTTCTTTCTTCTTCCATTAACAATTGTTACGCAAAATCATTTTTACAATCAAGTTGTGATTGTTTCACTTGAGTGAAGAGTGAAGAAGAAGATATTTTGATCGGTTAATTGAATCTTATTCATCGAGTTAGTTTAGAATTACTCAAAGTTTTGAATTAATTTCAACAGTGTATTTTTAAAGTGTCTCATTCTTCTAAAAACAACTATCATCTTCGACTGACACCTTCATGTTATAAACTATGAAATAAACTCATCACTTAATTTTCCCCAAAAACTAATAAAGTTATCTTCCAATGCTTTGAACCATGTCATGAAAATTCCTTGGAGGATAAGTACAAACAACTTGCACTCGGACTAATTTGGTGATAATCACAATGTTAATGTGCTCAAAGTGTTCATCGAAATTTCTGACCTGTCATAAACTTTTTAGCTTCGGTAGCTTCTCCAAAAACTTAGGAATTCTACATTCGATAATGTATTTGATGACCAAATTCTTTTTGTGGTGGGTGGAGGCGTGAAGGGCGGTACCGTGCTGAACCGTATGAGAGAGATCTCTTGACATTGAAGTTAAAGAAATACAAGTTAACTTGTTATTTAGTCTTCACAATGAGAATCGTCCAGCCTCATCACCAATTCAAAATATGTATGTAAGATATTTAAAAATCTTAGTCCAGAAGCCCTGAAAATTTTCACCATCCATATTTCTTAAATTCATGATGATTTAGTAGAATTAACCGCTTATCATGAATTTTCCTAACTTTTACATTCCTAAATGCACAACCAACTCAAATTGTCTCATTCCTTAACAATTTAGCATCATTTCACCAATGCCTCAAAATATATCACAATCAGATGTTGACAGAACTATAATGCCAAGAGAATACATAATAACTTCTATATTATTATTCCTCTATTTCTATTGTAAGAAACATTTGGCCCTGCACGATGAAGTACGAGAAGGCCTGACCTATCAGGTTCTCTCGTACTGCAGCATGCAATGCTTGAGGATGAAGGAATCTAAACCATCAGCTATCACTAAACACAAGTTAGGAATACTAAAGTCAAGCTTGATTCTTTGTCTCCCCATCTCAGTCAGGTTGCATTTCTTAAGCAAAAGACCTCAGACTTGGTTGTATCGATAATCTCTCTGTAAAAAATAAGTTAAAAGAAGAATCATCTTTCTCATAAATAAGTTTGAGTCATAAGTCATATCAACAAGCAATTTTAAGAGAAAATTGATGCCTATATGAATAAGCAAAAGATGTGACATACTTATGAGTTCATAAGTAACAATCATAGTTGTTCCATAAAGTGACATGTTCAAAAATCTTGGTCCAAACCCTCGGTAAAATCCCCACCATCCATCTTCCTTAAGGAGAGTTCTTGCCGTCTTTAGTACGGATGGTCTTCCAGAACCATAATTGTCCATAACCTATGTACAAATTTCAAGTGACACATCCAAAATTGATTGATTGAGTGAAAAGTCCAAGAAACACAAGTTTCGAATACCTGAAGTCGTGTTTTAACGGTATCTATGGGAGTAGTGATAACAGAGGAACAAGCACCGGCCACCATCCCAGCAGCAGCCTGAACTGTCACCATTTCCATATGTGACGGCTTCATCCTCGTATCATCTTTGAATCCCAAACTCCTGGAAGCAATAAGCATATGTAAGTCAAAACCATAAAATGAAGGAATGTACTGTTAAAAGTTCGATTATTTTGTAGATCATTCCAAAATATAGTGTACCTCCAAATTATGTGTTGTGCTGCACCATATGAACCCCACCAAAGTGCAGATGCTGGAGATTGTGTTACAGCCGTTAATCCAAAACCTCTATACAGACCACGAAAGCCCTCCGCCTGCACTACTCTTCGGATAACATCAAATGGTCCTCTACAACACGAAGTTCCAGGTAGACCTTGAACCATTAACCTCTGGCAGATCTAAGAAAACATTAAACAAAATTACTCACAGTGATCGATCAAGATTATAGGACACATGCAAAAACACATCAATTAGTAAGCATACTCATATATTTCGCAGGTACCCTCCGAACCGCGAATTGGTTAGCATCTAAAAATATTACTTACCACATCCAAGGGCACAAAATAAACACAAGAAACCAAATTTGAAACCATGCCAGCAACTCCATTTGCAAGGCCAATACGTGAAGCTTCTGGAATATCACCACCTTGAGTGTGTTTCAACACAATATCCTTTGACATCTCAAGAGATGTGAGGGCTAAAACTCTACCAGGCATTGATCCAATAGCAGAAGTACCAAAACCTCTAAAGATTCCAGGGATTCCATCACTCTTGATAATATGAGTGAACACTGACATTCCCTTCATGTTAGAGAGTCCTGAACTAGCTACTTGCATCCTTGTTTTCACCACTGCTGTTGGATGAAGTAATGCCGATTGAGCTGTGAAGAGTACTGCACCAATGATATGGAACCTAGTCTTATTCAATCTAATTAAAGAAAATATAGTGTTATTGAGTCTGAAACACGGGACAGACAACGGAAAGACGACACTGACACATCAAATGTACGTTAAGATACAAAAGTTGAACTGATTGTAGTTGTTATTTTTAGTTACCTGTCCCATTTGATGTCTGTATCGGACAGCGCCAAGTGTGGACTGGTGGTGGCAACCTCGGTTTCCATGGCCATGATTATTTAAACGGGCTTTTCTTACTATATTTTGTGGTGTATTCGCAGAGATGAATGGAACACTAATTCCTTCTTTCTTTTCTGTTTCTGGAACTCGTGTTGTGTGTTGTTGAAGATTGGTGACAGAGGAACATTTGAGTGAACAGAGGAACATTTGAGTGAACAGAGGAACATTGCTAACCGCTTGCATAGAATGTTCAAGACCTTTCGGTGTCTTCTAGTTTTTTTATAATAAAATAAAGGCAAACACGATACTTAGTCGACTAAATTTAAGGGTATTGAAAATTTTATGTAGCTAAAATAGATAGGAGCTCTCCAATTTCTAAAATAATTTCCCAAAAAAAAAAATTAGTTAAGAATAAAATTAAAATTTGAAAGATGTATTCAATTGATTTTTTTTTTTTAAACTTAGGATAGAAAAAATAATGTCTCCCTTTGTCAAAGTAACAATAATGTCTCCCTTTGTCAAAATTTGGATAAAACAACTTTTATAAATGTCCAGGAGTAAATCTTCACTCAAAATAGTCATAATAATGAGGACACACAAGTAGCACACCACAATAGAGCATACACGACAACGATGAAAATAGTAGTATCAGAGATCATGTAAGGTGGTTGCTAATCAGATCAGAACATATGTACCCACCATCACAATATCAAAGTATTAATCAAGTCAAGTCACTCATTACTCCCTTTTTTTGGCATAATATGACTAAGGTATGAAAAGAAATACCAAATAATTGTCAAAGTGTAAAACCATTGTCAATCATAGGTAAGAGTCACATATGAGAATCTAGAATAACTGAAATCATTGTTATAGTTAAAGGGGCGGCATTACAGAACCGACACTAAATAAAATATACCATGCCTATATACAATGGCTAAAAGGAATATAATCAAATAGAAAACACAGATTGTCGCACTCAACAGCACATGACCTCAATCTTCAGAATTTCCCTCTTCTTCCTCACTACAGTTGGCTCTTCCTCTTCATTGTCAACTTCTTCTTCTTCTTCCTTAGCTTGGTCATCATTCTTATTAATTCATCCATATTCTTCTTCTTAGTGGTGTTTTCTCTAATAGTTTCTTGAAGGGATTTTGAAACCTCTGTGAGCTCAAGCAACACATCATTTTAGGTATACTTGGATAAAGGAGAAGAGTTCCCATCAACAGATTGGCATGCCTTGTCACCGCAATATCTAGAACATGTGTTTCGACAAACAGCCTATAATCCAAATTTAGTGACAATGCCTTTTTGCTTTTAACATCTTTTGTTTGCACAATCTTAGGATATAGGTTGAAAATAATCTAATTATCAAACTGTGAAATACTATGGCCAGTTTCACAGCATATGAATCTGCATGTTTCATAGTTTTCTCAAAAACATAGTCTCCAAAATTCAGTAGCTTTGCCTTTGTGCCTATTTGAATGATAAGTTTAACCTGCAGAGGTTATACTTGAGATATGATTTGTGGGTGCCCAATCTGCTGCACCAATCCTATTCAAAACAACATATTTCACACTCAATCTTCTATTCAAGAGTAGTTTATTCTTTGGTTATTGCTTCACTTTCCCATAAGTTATCTTTTTTGCAATCTTATCTATAGATGAAACATTATCAGATATTTATTTTTGGTGAAAACTTCACACAACTTCCTCTAACATACACCTTCATATACTTCTTGCTTCCTTCAATATTGCTATAAGAAGATATGTTCACAATAAACTCCTTAACTAGTTTTTCATAGTAAGGACCAATATTAGTAATTGTCTTCATTAATCTAGTAGCTTTCAGTAAATTCATGATTTCTATGCAATAAATAGCTTATTTACCTCTCTCTCTCTCTCTCTCTCTCTATCTATATATATATATATATATATATATATATATATATGTGTGTGTGTGTGTGTGTGTGTGTGTGTGTGTGTGTGTGCGCGCGTGCGTGTGTGTGTGTATATATATATATATATATATATATATATATATATATATATATATATATATATATATATATATATATATATATATATATATATATATATATATATATATATATATATATATATATATATATATATATATATATATATATATATATATATATATATATATATATATATATATATATATATATATATATATATATTAGCTGCAATCCTTATTTGAAATACATATTTCTACTTCTGAACACTTGTTTCGGAATGGAATGACACATTATCCATGGGGACAGCAGAAACATTTACAAGATTTATTTTTCTACCAACCTTTCTCCTTATGGTAGACACAATATCCTATACATGTTCTTCATCATCTGACCCAGGGTCACTTGATTATACAAGTTTTCTCTTTAGAAACTACTTTTCAATAGCTTTACTTTATACCTTTCTTCTCTTTGTCACAAAATTTTCTTTTGGAGTTTTGTCCTTCTTAATCACAATATCCTTCAAAGGGATTTTGAAAGGTACATTTTTATCCTTCTTCTTTTTTTTTACCCTATCAACATCAAACCTAGCTATAATCTTCATCATAGTGTAATAGCAGGTTCTTCATCAGTTTTAGTCCATTCATCCACATCCACCACTTTTTTAACCTTAAGAGGTATCCGACCCATGCCATTGCTTTCTGCTTTAACCGAGGCCTTATAAGGAATCTGGGACCTCAGGAGTTTTAATTATTGATATATAATGAGGTGGTGTGTAATTTTACATTGCCAAACCATGAGAGGACTAGTGGGAACAATAGGAATAATTGGCTATATGACTTGGAAGGCCAAAGTGAGTCACCCACTCCACCTGATACCCCTCAAGCCTATGAGAATCGTCATGCCCCTCTCTGATGCTGTTTCATTTTCCTTTTTTGTTCACGTTGTGCCTCCTATAGATCGCACTCTTGCAATTGATGCCCTCAGGACGGAAGTTGCTACCCTTAGAGGAGAGTTAACTACTCTGCGCGTGGATTTCCTTGGTTTCATGGATGTGACTAATGAACAATTTGACAATATCTTCCAAGAAATTTACTCCTTAAGAAGACATTTCCTACCTATCCCGCGTTGTAGTGGCTAATCATACTTTGTTGTTACCGCACTTTTTCCTACTTTGCGCTTAGACAGTGAGAACACTGACTTGTTTTAGTGTGGGGGAGGAAGTATTTTTCCAGCTTTCTAGTATAGGAATTTTTCATGTTTCCTAATTAGGATTTCGTCATTATCAAGTTATATTTAACATTCTTCGTCGAGCTACCAACGTAAAACTAGCGCTGTGTGGAAGGCAACCTATAATTTTTTTTTTAATGCAATTTCCAGTTTCGTTGTTATTTTATTCTGAATTTTTCATTTTCCGTTTATCTTCTGTTTTTACTTTATGCTTTAAAATTCTTATTCCGATTAACTTCCCTAAGGCCGCATGCTGAAATATCAATACCTGACACAATTTTGGCCTTAGCACAACCAAATAAGCACTTAAAAATCATTATTTTCGTGCCTAAATTAAAATTTTGCACAACCAAGGCAAACAACGGTCGCCAATATGCTAATGGTGTTCACCATTGGCATGAATTTTGAATAGTAATGTTTTAAAGCTAATGGCGTTCGCCATATCAATGAAGCGGCATCATCAGTTTTAAAACCTCCTGACACGTTTTCACAACCTCTCCCATTCCTTTTAACTTCTCTCATCATTACTCTCTTAACTCACCCTTCCCACTACCTTCATAAACTTTTAAACTTCCATTCCTCTACTCTAATTGACTTTAAAAACTCCCATCCTAACATTGCATTCTCACTATTCCTCTCTCACACAACTTCTATCCATTCCTATCTCTCACTCTTCATTCCACAATGCCTCCAAGAACTGTTAGCGCAAGAAAGGCAGAGGTTTGCTTCATAGGAATTACATTTGGAGAAGGCGTAGAAGCAGAAGCGCAAAGAACAAGATACATGAAGTAGTTTAATCGTGAGGCCGCACCTACAAGATATATCGATGATTCCACTCTGTGTAGTTTAGGCTTAATAACTAGTTTGAATTGGATGCTGGGAAATTTAGGAATAGCGAACTTTTATGTCTTGAATAGTCCTATATATACTAGGCTTACCTATTGATAGGACCAAAATATACTATTTATTCGACTCGATTTGCGCATGTTATTTAGGATTTTATTTCCGTTTTCTTGTATTATGCCTTTGTTTTGTTTCTTTTTCAGGTTTTTGTATTTTCAAAGCTACTCGAGAAGAAATAAAGAAAAACGAGCTAAAAGACCAACATTCTGAGGAATTGTACACATGGCGGGCGCCATAGGGGATGTCACATATTGGATAGAAGACAACTGCTGACAACTGCTACGTCTCCCACTCCTTTCCACCCTAGTTCATGTGGCGGGTGCCACAGGGAGGTGGCGGGTTCCACCTTCACAATCTCGTTTCCCTCCCAAAACAAGTTGGGGGGCATTCTTGTCCTTACTTGTACTTTCCTACCACTATAAATAGAGGAGTTATGTCTCATTTCTAATCATCCAAGATTAGTTACAGAACTCAAGCCATAAATTTCACCTATTGTAAAGTGATAAACTTCTCACATCGAGGGGTTATCACACTGTTTAATCGAGTATGTAATCAGGTTTGGAGCACTTGGGTAGAAGTTAATCCCGCCGCCATTTTATTTCTGTCATTTACTTCCAGTTGTGCCAAGATTTAAAGCCTCTCGTTTAGAGCAGGTTTCTGTTTATTTATCGCCCTTTTATTTATCCGTCGTTATTTCTCGCACCGCTTTTATTTCTCGCACCATTTATTTATCACACCCTTTACCGCATTTTATCTATTTTTCCCGCACTTTATTTACTCGCATTTATTTACCATGTCTATTTACTTTACCATGTCCGGCTAAATCTTAAAGGCTAGGATGCAAGGATTGTAGTTATAATAGTATTCCATACGGCTGTTGATAGAATTACTTAGGGGTTATTTTGACTTTTAACACTTATTTTCTGTACTTAAAATATGTTGGGT